GCCCGCCCGGGTGGTCACCTGCGCCTCCCCCGGCCTCCTGCCCTCTCAGCTCTCTGGGTCGGGCCACCTGCCTTGCCCACGTTCCTTGCGGGTCAGTGGGCCTGCCCTGCACCCCTCGGCCTCTGCCCGGAAACAAGCACCAGCAGGTGTGGAGCTAGAGAAAGTCACACTGCCCGCTGCCATCTACTCCCTCTGGTCTGGCAGTGACACAGCTCAGGGGACAGAAGGGTTGTGAGTTAAGAGAGGGGAAGGCCTAGGCCCAGGCTCCCTTTGCACCTCTCCATGCAGCAGCCCCTAACGCCAGAGGCCCACGGTTCTTCCTCATGTGAGCCGGTCAATCCTGTATCTGCTCCACTCCTTGCCACTGCTTTCCGCCCCTCGCAGCCATGGGGCTGGAGGAGGACAGTCTATCCATGCTGTTGGGGAAACAACTCCACAAAGCACTGGGTCCCAAGAGGGACTCTTTTCCCCAGACGTGCATCCCAGACCTTTCTGCCGGATGCTTCTCCATCCAGGGGAGCGAAGCTGTCCAAGTCCTGAACGTCAGGGACTCTGTCTTCATCCTCCTCCTTCACCTGGACCGGCAGGACTCGGGACGCAGGTGGGGCCATGTGTCTGCGCTACAGATTCAGATGTCCCTTAAATAAGCCACTGGAGTCCAGACAGCAACAGAAATGGGAGCCCTTTCAGCTTTTACAGAAAACCATATTGTCTGCCTCCCCCTCTGCAGAACACTTGTCTTATTCTTTGGATGCTTCAGAGTCAGTCCAGAAGGTAATAGGGTGCTGTATACTGATGCCCTCAAAAGCCCTAATAGTGCTGGTTATTTATTTTTAAACATCTAACTTTTTAACTGAGGTATACCTACAGAAGTATGCAAAGCTTAACTTCGAACACAATGAATGTTTGTGGGTACAGGCAGCCCTCGCTCGCTCCACAGGGCACTCTTGTGGTCAGAAGTCATGCAAATTAGAACGAAGGCCTTGTGCTGCACAGTTCTGCCATGATGGGTGTGAGTTGTTCCCAGTCACCAGAAACATGCAAAGTGAGGCCCCAGCTCAGATATGCGTGAGTGCTGAGCACTGTGCGGGTCAGGAACTGCGCACATGCGTGATGTATCCTCCTCCCAGCTGGAAACGAGAAACATTCCTGACACCCGGAGCTCAAAGAGTGCCTTCCTCAGAACCCCCTCCCGGGGGTAATCCGAGCTCCCGTATCCAGAACCAAAGGCTAGCTGTGCCTTCTCAAGGCATGCAGCACACGGACGGCATATGTGAACAGAGATAAGAGGTGCACACTGGGGAGTTTCTATGCTGACCTTTGGTTTTCATTTTTCTGACTTCTGTCTACAAATCTCATCCACCCCTGTACCAGAAATTCCTTCTTTCCCACCGTTTGCAGTATCCCAGTCTGGACACAGCAAGTGTGGCTTTTGTCTCTGGTATCCAGTCTGACAACTTCCACCTCTCAGTGGGGTCGGTCTCTCACCTTTAAAGTAACTACTGCAGGATCTGTGTGATTCTACCATTTTCCCATCTCTCGTTTGTCTTGTTACTTTTCCCCCCTCTTCTTGATCCCTCTTCCTGCTTTCTTTTAGTATAAACAAATATATTTTAGTATCTCATTTTATTTACTCAATTAGCTTGCTGAGTCTTTTTTTTGTCCTTGATTTATGTCTCCCTGAATTAATGTCATGCATCTCAGGTAAGACGTAAGGACTTGAAGAGAATACAGTGGTGCCTTGGCTCACAAACCTAACTTGTTCCACAATTTTGGAAAAAATGGACACATTTGTGTTTGTGCAGGAAAGATGGCTGTGGGCGTGTTTGTCACCCAATGCAGTTTGCAAATAAAAACAAAATTTTGCCAAATGCTTTTGTGTGAGAACCAAATTTTTCGTCAACGAAAGCATTCGTGAACCAAGGAGGTGCCACTATAAACCCCTTTACAGCCAATATCTCACCCCGCTGTGTACTGCTGTCTTACGCATTTTGCTTCTGCGTGTGACAAACCTTACAGCGCCATGTTAAGATTTTGCTTTAAATAGTCACTTGCATTTTAAGGAAATTAATAGCCTCATATATTACTCCCATTTATCCAAATCTGATGCTTTTTATTCCCTTCCTACAGAACCAAATTTCTACTTGGTGTTGCTTGCTTCACCTTCAGAACTTCCTTTAGCATTTCCGGTGGTGCGAGCTCTGCTGACAAATTAGCTTGCCTTCCATTTAGGAGAAAATACCTTCGTTTCACAAATATTTTTCGAAGAGTGTTCTGGCTAGATGTGGAATTCGGAGTTGACTGATTCCTGTTTTATTTCAGGGCACTTTCACATCTGAAGTAGTGCAAGAGAGCTCCAGGTGCTCCACACCATCATTTCCTATATAACCATTAGCCTTACTTCAGCCAGCCTGCCGCCTGTGTGCCTCTTCTCCTACTATTCATAGGGGGATTATTTTTCAATACAGACACAAGATCCACAACTACATTTTGATCAGTGTTATTTATGTTTCCCAGATTTCCGATGTGTGTGTCATTTTAAACATTTTCAGATAACATGTACCATAATGCCTACCCACCTTTAGTAAGTTTCCTAAATTGTGTAACCATAATTACAGTGTTTTAGAACATTTTTCAGCTCATCTCCATTCAGTTCCTCATCAGCCGCTAATCTAGCTTCCGACGGCACAGATCTCACTAGTCTGGACACCTCGTAGGAATAGCTCAGTGCAGCATGCAGTCTTCTGTAGCGATCACTTAGCATACTGTTTCTGCGGTCTCCATACTGCAGCCTGTATCAATATTTCACTCCTTTTTACTGCTGAATGGCATTTCCTTACACGGCTATACCACATTTTATGGATTCACCAACTGACAGACTCTTGGGTTGTTTCCAGTGTTGGACTATAATGAACGATGCTGCTATGAACATTTACACACAAGTCTTTATGTAGACTCATGTTTTCATTTCTCTCTGGTAGATACCTAGGTGGGGAACTGCTGAGTCAGTGGGAAGTCTCATGTTTAACTTTTTAAGAAGCCACCAAACCATTTTCCAAAGTGGAAAGTTTAACTACTTAACAAGTCTGGTAGCAAACAATGTGTAAGGGAGTCTCCCACTGTTCCCCATTATACTCAATATTTGGTATTTTTAAAAAAAATAATAGTTATTATACTGGATGTAAAATGATAACTTCGTTGTAATTTTAATTTGCATTTCCCTGATGATCAATGAGGTTGGGGAACTTTCCATAAGTTTATTAGTCATTTAAATATCCTTTGAAGCCCTCTTTCAAGCTTTGGCCCATTTTTCAACTGGGTTATTTTCTTTACAGTTTTATGGTTCTTATTCTAACCTGAGCACAATTTCTTCCTGACATACGTCCTGAAAATACTTCTTCCGGTCTGCAGGTTGCCTTGTCTCTCTCACTGGTGCCCTTTGATGGCAGAAATTCTTTATGGTCCCGGGTACTACCTTTTCTGAATATTGACTAGTGCATGATTATGAACAGTGTACTTACATGAATAGTGTACAAGTAGCCTGCCTGAGATAATCTACCTACCAAGACCTGCGGTCCTCTGTTTTCTTCTAGTAGCTTCATTGTTTTACTTTGTTTAGGTCCACGGCCCACTTTGAATTAATCTTTGAAGACAGCACAATATAGGGGTCAGCATTCATTTTCTTCCCTTCCTCACAGATATCCCACTCTTGCCACACTGTTTATCGGGAGATCACCCCTTCCCTGCTGACCCGCAGTGCCATCTTTCTCCTGGATCACGTGATCGGATCCAACTGCTCAGATCTGTCCCTAGACTATTCTGCTCTCTTGACCCATCTCTCCTTCAGCCTCACTGACTTCACTGCTGCAGCACTGGAGCAAGCACTGTTAAGAGACTGTAGAAGGCTCCAATTTTTTTCTTCTTCCAGCTTGAGATTCCAAGTCATTTAAATTCCTTTTTTGTTCTCAAATATTTTAATTAGTATATTTTTGCAACACATAGTAAATACATTCACCACGGGGGAGCTGGCCCATATACAAATCACATCTTGATCCTTTCTACTCCCCCTTCCCCTCCTCTCCCTCCTGTCTCCCCCTCCCTTGGTCCGCTTCCCATCCTTTCAAAGAACAAATTCTTTCATTTATTGATCCTTTGTATTGTTTTTTCAGTCTCAACTTCATTAGTTTCTGCTCTTATCTTTGTGATTTTTTTCCGTTAGTTTCAGATTTAGCTTGTTCGTGTCTTTCAAGACCTTGCGATGCATGGTTAGGGCCCACCTCCATCTCTTAATGCAATCATGCTGACACCAGAATTAACCATCACGAATCTATAGATCAACTGTGGAAAAGCTGTTATCTCTACTTGTTCTAATCAATGAATATGGCATTTCTTTTCACTTATTTAGGTCTCTTAATCTTTTTTGTAATATTTGTTAGTTTCAGGGTAGAAACCTTATATTTCTTCCATTAGATTTATTCCCGGGTATTTAATTTTTCTGGTGCTTTATTTTTAAATGCCATTTTTAAAATTTTCATTTTACAGTTGTTTATTGCTCCTCTATAGAAACAAAATTTACTTTTATGTATTTACTTTGTATCTAGACACTTTGATAAATTCACTTTTTAATTCTAATAGTTTGTATTGCCCTCCCATGGTCTGAATGTGTCCCACCAACATTCACATGCTGAAATTTAACTGCCAATGTGATGTTATGGAGAGACAGGGCCCTATGAAGTGATTAGATTAGCAACCTTAAAGAAGAGGAGAGAGGGAACTGGCCGCCACTACCCTGCCCTTCATTCCCTCCTGCCAGGTACAGACACAGCATTCAAGGTGATCTTTTGGGGAGCAAGGCCAGGCCTCCACCAGCTATAACCTGCTGGTGCCTGGTCTTGGATGTCTCAGCCTTGAGAACCATGAAAAATAAATTCCACAGTTGTTTACAAATTGCACAGTTGGTGGTACTTTGTTATCGCAGCAGGAACAGACTAAGCCTTGAGTATCTGAGAATAATTAGGTTTCCTTTTATTGCAATTTAAAAACTCTTATTTCTTTTATTGTCTTTTGTATTTGATGCCCTAGCCAGTGAAATATTGAACAGAAGGAGTGACAACGGCCATTCTGTTTTGGCCCTGAATTTGAGTGGGAAATGTTAAATATTTCATCTTTATGTACATGTTAGCTTTTTGACAGAACAATACATCAGATTAGGGAAATTCCATTCCATTCCTGATTTGCTAGGAGTTTACATCATGAAGTTGAATTTTATCAAATGCTTCTTCTGTGTCAGTTAAAATGATCATAATGGGGGGCCGGGGATTTAGCTCAGTGGTTCTGGCGCCTGCCTTGCAAGCGCAAGGTCCCGAGTTCAATCCCTGGTACCAAAAAAAAAAAAAATGATCATATTGGTTTTTCTTTTTTTATAACATTAGTACATTGAATTATATTCACTGATTTTAGAATATTAAATCAATCTTTACATTTCTAGAATAAACTCAACTTGATCGTGACTAGCTTTTTTATTTATTGATGGATCTAATTTGTTAATACCTTATTACTATTCTACTTATGTTCACAGATAAGAACCACAAAATTTTCTTTTTTAATAATATCCTTGGTTTTGGAATTGGAGTTGTGCTGGCTTTATAAATAAGCTCAAATATGTTCCCACTGATTGGCTGGAATTAGTTTTATTCCTTAAATAATTGAAAGAATTTAACTGTGAAGCCAGCTGGGTCTGGGCTTTTGTGTGGAAAAAGTATTAATTATTAATTTAATTTCTTTAACAGCCATAGGACTACTCAGATTTTCTCTTTCTTCTTATGTCAGTTAAGTTGTGCTTGTTCACAGAATATGTCCATTTCATCTAAGTTTCACTTGAAGCTTACCTGCATATGCTGCTCATAATGTTTTCCACATCTATGGGAGCTGTGGTATTTCACATTTTTTGTGTGAATTAATTGCTTCTTCCTCTTTCACATTTTTTGGTGAATTAGTTGCTTTTTCCTTTTGGCAATGTTGTTAGGACTATGTCAACTTACCAATTTTAATTAACTATTGAACTTGTTGATTTTCTGTATTGACTTTATTTCAATGACTCCTGCACTTTATAATTTCCTTCATTCTACTTTCTGGGAGTTTAATTGGCTACTCTTTTTCTTCTTGAGATGGCAGCTCAGATGTTTGATTTCCAGCATTTTTTCTTTTGTCTAAAATATGTTTTGCTCTGTGGACTGATTTAATGACAACTCACAAATTTTGAAATATAGCCAATTTGATAAATTGTCCCCTTGAAAAGAACAGTGTCCTACCACTGGCTGGAATATAGTTTAGCCTAACTTGGTTAACCACATTTAAATCTTTCATAGCCTTATTATTCTTTAATCTCCATGTTCCATCACTTGCTGGTAGATATATGTTTATCTTCAACTATAATTGTGGATTTGTCTATTGATCCTTTTAGTTTTGACAATTTTTCTTATACACATTTTAAACTTTTGTCATTAGATACATTCCTATTGGCATTCTATTAGTAAGAATCGCTCTTATTTATATTTGGGATTACTTTTTTCTCTGAAGTCTTTGGCATTAATATAGCCAGGCCAGCTTTCCTTTTGGTTAATGTTTCTGTAAAGTATCTTTTTCTGTCGACTTACTCTACCTGGCTCTGTCCTCATCACCAAAATGTGTCTCTTGTCAGCTGGGAATGGTCATCCGAGTCATCCCAGCCACTTGGGAGGCCAAAGCAGACAAGGAAGACTGGAAGTTCAAGACCATCCTGGGCAACTCAGTAAGACCCTGTCTCAAAATAAAATACAAAGAGCCTGGCACTTGGCTAGCATGCATGAGGCCCTGGGTTTAATCCCCAGTATAAACGAATAAACAAGTAAATAAATCTCTTTCTTCTGGCCTGAGAAGCTCAGCCTCCCGCACCACACTGGTTAGGCCCTGTGTCTGCCATAGGGCCCATCCTCCACGGAGCGGAGTGCTGCTTCCTGTCTCTACTGATGCTGTGGGGGATGTCACTCTGTCTTCCCTGGGGGCTCACTGGCCTCTCACAGCACCCCAGAACTCAGAAAATGTCCTGCAGAGCACTTTTTCACGTGACCCCTGAGAGATAGCAAAAAAATCCTACTTCTCTCTCAACACGCAGGTGGGCTCAGCCCCAGGGAGCCCCACCCTCCGCCCTACCCAGACTCAGAACGTCCCGGGGGTTGGCTGTGACTATCCTCTCAGGAAGGGCTCCTTCCCCTGCCGGGGGAGTTTTGGTGCACCCAGACCTCACAGCTTCCCAGCTCCCGGGCATCTCTGAAAGTCTGTTTGCCACTGATGTCTCTCTTGGGTGTCACAGCAGCATGGCTGGCCCACCCTGGCCCTACTTACCGCGGCTTACCTGGAGGCATGGGTCTGCGAATGAATGAAGAAGCACCTAGTGCTTTGATCCCATAGTATGGTCCTGTCGTGCCACGGCCCTGCCTCCTTACCCAGCGGCCACACTGACAGATGAGAGCACTACTCCGCGTCACCTAGTGGCCACGCACCAAATGAGGGGAGACCTGTAGCCACGGCCACGCGTCCTTACTGCCCCCCGGGTGGGGAGGACTTTGCTGAAACCCCACAGCCTGGAGCAGCAGCTGGAGCACCGTGGGCCTTCAAAACCTCGCGCAAACCGAGTGTGCACGCTGCACGTGGGCAGGAAGGGAAGGGGGCACCGCGTGGCACGGGGTGGGGTGGGGGCGGGGCACGTACCAGCCTGCGGATGTCGCGTTCGCACTCCCGCTTGATGCGGTGCGCCTCGTCCTGGTGCGCCTGGTAGGCGGCGCGCAGGTCGGCCGCCTTGGCCTTGTCCGCCTGCACGCAGTTGCTGAGCGCCTCCTCCGCCTGCTTGCGTGCCGCTTTGAGCTCCAAGATGTCCTGCTGCAGGCGCAGGCGCTCGCCATCGAAGGCCCTGCGCGCCTCGTCGCGCGCCTCGGCCAGCAGCGCCGACTTGACCTTGTCGGCCGCCCCGTCGCGCAGCACGTTCAGCGTGGCCTGCAGCCGCTGCAGCTCGCCCTCCTTGATCTTGGCTGTGCGCGCCGCCTCCTGCTCGTGCTGCCGGATGAGAGCCTCGCGCAGAGCCTGCAGCTCCTTGGTCTTCTCCTCGTGCAGCTTGGCCTTGAGCTCCGAGATGTGCGCCGTGTGCCGCCGCTGCTCCTGCTCGCGCTCCAGCTTGGCCTCCTGCAGCCGCTCGCGCAGCCTCCCCACCTGCAGCAGGGGGCCGGCCGTCAGGGTCGGGCATGGCGGGGGCGCTGGGCACCCCACTGCTCCCGCCCAGACCCCCGTCCCCACACTCCCGCTCCCGAGTCAGTCAGCTTGGCAGCCCCGACCCAACCCCACCAGCACCCTCCCCCTGCAGTGTCGACTCGGGATTTTTCCTGGAGGTGGCAAGCCTCTGAGCATGTTGGCCAGCTGAGCCCTGGTGGCCCTTTTCATTCCAAGGTGAACAGGAGTGGGTGTGCACCGGCCACGGACACACCGGGGAGCCCACCTGTCAGTGACGCCAGGGAGGGTCTGGGCCGGAAACGCCTCTCCAGCGCCATGCATGGGGCTGCGGCCTGGGAGAAGGGCGGGCAGCTGCTGGGGAGGGAAGGAAGGCTCCCCAACGCCCCGGGACCCCGGCTCCCGAGCCTGTGCTCCGCAGGTGCTGGGCCACCAGATATGAGCGTGCGTCTGATTGGCAATTTAAAAGGTTTTTTGTAAAATGTGCATGTGTTTTCTTAAAACATTCCAGAGTGCTTTACTGGAGTTTTCATTTCAAATGCCACACAGCACCCACGTCCCACAGGGCCCTGTGCAGCCCGTTTCTACCCCGGGCAACAGCAGGCTCCACAGGACTGCGGCCAGCGCCCCTCGGTGGACAGGCGGCTCTGGTAGAAAATGGCACCGATCCCCAGACCACATGGTTCACTGCTGACTATGGAACAATTAAGTTTAGTTGAGTTATATGACATCCGGGTATCGATAAATCCTTCCTTGGAACATCAGGAAAAGAAGCAAAGCCATCGAGCAAGCACACATCTCCTTAGATGAAACACAGGCACAGAAGTAGAACAAGGCGACCAGCCGTCCCTGGTCCACCTTGCCCAGATCTGAAACTGAGTCTTTTCCTAGTGGATTTAGTGCCAGGAAGCCAAGACTTTTAAGTCTTTACATGATTTCCCAAGTCAGGGACAAAACACTCTGTCTTCTCCTTTCTAGGAGGCCACAGGGTCCCAACCTCCCTGGTTAGCGTTGGCAGTGACCTGAGTCAGAAGGGCAGGGTCCATTAGATTCCAGACCTGCTCTGGTTCATTTTCTGAGTCAACCTGGCCGGGCCGTGCTACCAATCATTTGGTCAATTACCAAACTACACCTTGTGTGGGGGATTTCTTAGCTGAAGTCAGCATTTATATTAGTAGACTGAGTGAAGCGGAGTGGGTGGGGCTCACCTGGTCAGCTGAAGGTCTTGGGTGAAACCTCCAAAGACTCCCCTGGAGGAAAGAGTTCTACCCAGGCTGCTCTTGGGCTCAAGACTGCAAGATGAGCCCTTCCCTCAGGCTTGTCCTGCACACTTCAAACCTGCCAGCCAGGGAAGGGGAAAGCTACCAAGTGCCACCCAGAGGTCTGCTCTTGTGGTCTGGAGTATGCAAGCCGGGTGAGAGCGCTCCCGGCCATGAGTCACAGGGAGGAAGGGAGGGGAGTGGACAGGGAGCATGGGGTATTCGGGGCACTGGGCGAAGTCTGGGGCTGCCTCCAGGGTGGGACAGAGGGTGCCGGCCAGGAGGAGCTGGGTGGCACAGGCGTGTGGGGCCGAGATGGGTCACACCCTCCATCACGCCAAGCCCTGAGTCCCACGGGGTGCAGCTGAGCTCTTCCAGAGCCACTACACACAGCTGAACAGCTGGGAAAGAGGAGGGCACCCGGCTTCTCGCTGTGATGAGGAGGCTCTGAGGAGAGGGGCGGGACTGAGGCGGCCACTGTGGATTAGTGTAGGGGACATCAGCGAGAAGCCATGCCTAACGTCACACAGACACGGGTATCACATGCAGAACCACGTACAGACACGTGCCAGTGCACGCAATGCTCCTGGCCCCGTTGTCAGCTGAGAAGCAGTGTACCCGGCCAGCTGTGGGCACCCCAGCAACCCCACTTTGGTTTCTAAACACTATTCTCCCGTAAGAAGCAGCACCAGGGTCCTCTGAGAAAGACTGGTCCCAAGACTGGGGCAGGGCACGTGTGAGATGAGCCAGAAAGTATAGAAAAGCAAAATAAATAAATAAACCAATAATGACAAAACCTCCTCCTCGATGACAGGTGCCACAGGGACACGGGCGCCAGTGGGACAGCTCTGTGTGCCCAAAGCTCACACAGCCTAAGCAGCAGAATAATCAAGGTGCCGTGAGTCCACACGGACCTAAAAACCATTGAATAAACCCTAAAATATAAATTAACGAAAAACCCTGAGAGCCCCACAGTACTCAGAACTCAGCCCAACCCTCCGGCCCCTGGGACCGACCTCTGTGGCTCTCTGCTCCATGTCCTACCCGGGCCCTGACTGCTCAGCTCTGGAGCCCCTGGACCCTGCAGCCGGCGGGCTCAGCCACCCCCACCCAGCAGCTCCTGGCCCCGACCTGTGACTCTCCCCAGGGCACCCACGCCCTCGTCTCCCTTCAGGTTCACAGGCGCCTTCTTGACTGAATAAATGATGCGTGAATCTGCATTCACTCCCCACACAAGCCGCAGAAAGACCTCGGCTTCTGCGACAAAGCAGCCACACAGCAGACACTCAGGACCGAGCTGCGGGAAGAACGGGGGGTGACCGGCCTGGCAGAGCTGGGAATAAGAAGGCCCTCAAGAGCACAGGGCAGCAAGGCCAGGCGGGAGAGCGCCCACCATCATCATCAGGCCCCGGCTTGCAGGGGCCCACCCCCTGCCTGGGCACCCTCCGCCTGTGCCGCCCTCCACACTCCAAGGGGGCGGGCGACGCCTCCCTGAGGCCTGGATGGGTCTGTGCTGCCTCCTGGGTCTCCACTCAGATGGCACCTGAATGCCAGCCTTCCTGCCCCATGCTCTGAAGCCCTTGAGGACAGGGCGAGGTCCACACCCTCCTGCAGCTCCGGGTCGGCGCTGGCCAGAGTGCCAGTTACAGCAGAAGCAGTAACTCCCTGCTTAGCGAGTAGGTGGCAGCTGGAACCTGGGAGGCCTGGGTCCGGCAGGGGGCTGCCCACTGGCCTTGCCCACCATGCCCCTGACTGTGGGCTCTGCCTGCCCCTGACTGGCCCTCAGGCTGCCCATGAGTGGGTGCCACTGGGCCCATGGGGCAGTGTGAACACCCCTCCCTTCCCCTCCAGCAGCACATCCTCAGGGTTTGCTCCACTATGCAGACTCACAGGCCCCTCTTTCCTCACACGTCTTCTATGAGCCAAGTGCTGTTGGGCCGTGATCCCTGTGGGTCTCTGCATCACCCTGCATGAGGGCACAGGCTGTTTCTGAGTCACTCCCAAATGCGAGTCACAGCCCAGGCCCGCAGCATACCTGCAGGGGGCTCGCTACATGAACAAATGAATGAATGAATACATTTTCCACATTCCCTTGCCCTACAGTGTTTAACAGGAATCTTTTGCTAAAATAACAGCACTGTAGAGCCAGCTGTGGTGGCACATGCCTGTAATCCCAGCACTCGGGAGGCTGAGGCTGGAGGATTACCAAGAGTTCAAGGCCAGCCTGGGCTACATAGGGAGTTCAGGGCCTGCCTGAACTGCAAAGGGAGACCCTGCCTCAAAAAAACCAAAAAAATAAGTAAATAAAATAACAGCACTGTAAATGTGACACTGACAGTATGAGATCAAAACAAAGATAACATTTTTAAAAAATAACATTTAAGTGCAACTGTAAAGTTTACATTTATGTTTTTCATACCAGACAGCAAGCACACTGCTGAATGCCCCAAGAACGCAAATACTCCCCGTGGCCAGATGGGTAAAGCCCTGCAGAGCAGGCCCCAGGGCCTGGGTGGACAAGATGGGCGGCCAGCACATGTGCATGTAGAAATCACCATGTGTCCCGGAGGTAAGAAGGTCACCTGAGGACGGGGCCTCCCGCAGACCCAGTGTCCTCGGACCAGCACCACCTGCCACTGTGCTGGTCGCTGTGTGGGCTGAAGTGCGTCTCTCCCCAAAACTCACATGCTGAAGCCCCAACACCCAGGATGTGAGAAGATGACTATTCGGAGACAGGGCCATTAAAGAGGTGATCAAGGTAAAATGAGGTCATTAGGAAGGGTCCTCATTCAATTGAACTGTGTTCTTATAAAAGCAGACAAGGAAATAAAGTCCTGCTGTGTACAGCTCCAGTCTGCGGCTCTTCCCCTGGGCTGTCACCTCTCTTCTTGAACCTTGAGTTTTCCCCCCACACAGCAGACAGGACCTCATAGCTCACTGCAGGGTCACGTACCTCTAAAGCCCCTGGTGCACAGTGACACAGAAACATCAGCACTCGGGCCACCAAGTCAGTGCAGGTGACAGGCAACTTCCAGGCCCTGGGTCCAACTGCCTCACTCATTCCTCCAACAACTAGGGGCAGACATTTAATAGCTGGGGAAGCTGAGCCATGGGTCATTCCTGGCTTCAAGGTTAGGTGGTGGGGTGGCATGGAGCCTGGCATGACTCAGGGGTGCAGCTTCCCCTGGAAGGACCCCGGCAGGTGCAGCCCACCTGGCCAGGCAGGGTGTGGGCAGGGGCATCACCAGCAGCCTCAGCCGGAAGATGCACTGTGCAGGCAGGAATCACAAGTGCCTGGGCGGCAGGTGGGCCCTGCCCCTGAGCTCCAGATGCTGGCCTCCTGGCACAGTCACAGGTCAGATGCAGCTGCTGCTCCCTGTGGACGTCCTGATCTGGGCTGGGAGCCAGGACCAAGACCCCTGCCAGGAGCTGGACCCCACTCAGACATCAGCTGGGCCTGAGCCCCAGCACTCAATAGGACAGGCCACCTGCTGCCTCTCACAGTCCAGTGCCACAGCAGGGCCAGCGTCACCTCCCCAGCTGGGCCAGGCCCTCTGCTGCTCACACCACCCAGGCATAGACCCTAACCCCACCCCTTTCTGTGGTCACAGAGCGCAGGCCAGTGCTACCCAAACCCACCCGAGGCCAGCTACACCGACGAAGAGGACAGTGGCACCCAAGGACACCAGATGCCATGGGGCTTTTCACTGTGTCCACTGCATCGGGCCTTCATGACAACCTCAAGCGGGGCAGCTATTACTTACTACAGCACGGACAAGCTCAGGACACAGAGGCTCGGAGGCCCCAAGTCACCTGCCCGAGAGGGTGAAGCCAGTCAGGGGCCCAGTCTGCAGGATGATGGGCTCTGCGTCACGGCTGTGCCCTAACTGCACTCCTGCGGCCGGCCACCACCCGGCAGCACTGCCCTATCTGGCTTACACCCGGCCTACCAGGGGAATACAGCTCACAGGACTGAGCGGGCCTGTCCCAGGCTCTTTCCGCAGTGCCAAGTCCTGTCTGCAGCCCAGCGAGGCGACTCTTCCGCCTCCCACCTTGCAGGCAAGGGAAATGAAGCTTACGCTTGTGCACCCAACCTGAGTCTCAGCGGCACATGGTAGGGCTTCGGTCTGCACCTCTGCGGACACCTAGGGGAGGAAGTGCCCACCATGCCCAGGCGGGAGCATGCCCTCCACACGTACATAGGACACACTCAGCCGAAGCCCGTCCACTGCCAGGCCCTCTCGGAGACTGGGCCCGCGCTGCCCACCTTGCTCTTCTCCTGCTGGAACTCGATCTGGATGCTGGTCAGCTTGGCCCGCAGCTCCTCGTTGGCCATCTGCACCGGGTCCATCTCCATCTCGGGCTTCTCGCCCTTGCTCCGGGCTTTTTTAGACATGCTTCCTCTTGGGTTCAACGTCGAGGTCCTGAGGTTCACCCCCGCCCTCCAGCAGGCGTGGCGAGCAGCTCAGCCGGGCTAACCACTCGTGCAGGGCTCAGCCTGTCCTCTGCATAAGCCACCATCACTCGGGACCCTGGGGAGGAGGAGCTGAGTTAGCAGAGGAAGGAGCTGGCACCCTCCCAGCCTGGGACGCCCCCCGAGCCAGACGCTGCCCTCTGGAGCATGCGCCTCCTCCCGGGATGAAACCTGGCGATTCTCCGAGGGCTGTCCCATCACCTTGCGGTTGTGAGGGGCTCATCACTGCACTCACTGTGTCCCCATCTACGCAAACTAGACCTTACGCTGCCAACCTCAGTGAGCCGGGTCACAGGGTCGTCTGGGTCCCTGTTCCAGAAGGCAGGTCCCAGGCCTCCCCCAGAGTGGGGACCTCGAGCCTCTCCCACCCGTGCTCCCAGCAATTCCGGAGCAGGGTCTGAGGACCACGCATGGAGATCCAGGGTTTTAGACTTCGCGAGGTGAGTGGTTCTCCCCAACTAGGTATCTGAGGTCACCAAGGTTACAGATGAGGAAACTGAGGCCACCCAGGCTGAGTGCCCGGGTGCCACGCAGCTCACAAGAAAGACACTATGAACCTGGCCAATGTCTGTAGCCAGAAGTGGACGGTGAGGACTTGGCCAGGCCTCCAGGCTTCACATCCTGCACTAACCTAGCCACAGCCTGAGCCTCTGCGCCTCCCTGCTCCTCCTCCTCCTCACCACGCCTTGCTGCTGCTTCCCATGACAGACTCCACGCCCACTTATTTCTGTTCCTCTACCTCGGGATCTAGGCTCCAGGTACACAAGACCTGGGTCCATCTGGATCTGCACTGTATCTTTGTGCCTAACTCTGTGTCCAAGCTGTATGAAGCACCCCAGAAAGATCTGTCATATGAGCAATGGGTGTCTGAGGGCCAACAGGGGACAGCCATGAGGCCTTTGCTATGTGCCCACTCCTCTGGTGCCACTCTGCTATCCTTGGGCACAGATGAAGAGGTCATCTACTCACTAGACCCGCAAAAACGGAGCCAGAGCGGCTGAGTGAGCTACCTAAAGCCACATGGCTGGGAAGTGGTGCGCTGGGACTTGGTCACCTGGGGAAAGAATGCAGAGAGGACAAAAGGCTGTTCCAGTCCAGCGGGAAGGGTGTCAGCCTTGGGGTACTGGAGAGAAACTGGCACGGAGCACCCTAGACAAGAAGCATGCAGATAAAGAAAAAGGAGAACAGGGAGGTAAGAGAAGACAGCGTTCCTAGAAGAGGCCTCAGGGGCAGCTCCAGGGCCTCCGCTGGAGACAACACGCTGGCCGCTGATTCACCTGGAGCTGGTGTGGTGAGTGCTGGGTGCTGGGAGGCGGAAGTACAGGCCTCTGGGCGCACTGGGGTCTCGAGATGACAGTGTGCCTCGGATGGGAAGTCTCCAAGACCTGCCTAGCCCAAGTGTGCGCCCACACTTTCATTCCTTGCAGTACTGGGAATGGAGCCCAGGGCCTCCTGCAGGTGAGCCAAGCCCTCTGCCACTGAGCCAAAGCCCCAGCCCTTCTGAGTTCTTTACTTTGAGACAGTGCCTCACTAAGTTGCTCCAACTGGCCTGGAAGTTTGGATCCTCCTGCCTGTGCCCCACACCCGATTAGCTACGTTCCTCTCGAGCTGAGAGTGCAGAGTTCTACTGCTGCAGGAGGATTATCCAGGGGTCATCAGCACTGCCACCGATCGATCCCAGAAAGGTACATTCTGTCTTCAGATAAGCATGAGCTCCATTTGCTCTGATTTGCCTTATTAGAGCTTAATGCATAATTCACTCCCCAGCTCCTCTGACCTGGCTGCTCTCTCTACCCATGGCAGTTCTCAGAAACCAGCTCCTCTTCCCATGCTGAGCAGGAAGCACTCTGCAGGTGGAAGTTTCTATTCCCACCCATGGCCACTGCTAGGCACTGCCCAGGGATGGAACATGGTCTCGTCTGTCCCAGGGGCACCAGCTCAGCCCTGGGCACAGATTATGAAATTATGTCAACGCCCTCAGGACAAACTCCACCTGGAGACGGGCTAATGTTATCCAGAGTGAGAAGGGCAGAGTGCAAGGCCAAATATTTATGAGCTCAGTTTTCTGAACCACATATTTCTTGATTCTTTTTACTAAGTCAAAAATATTCACTGAGCACCAGCTCAGTGCCAGGCCCTGCTCCCTAGGGATACAAAAGGTTAACGAGAGGTTCTAGGTGACACTCATTTTCTTCTTTATCCTCTTCCAGATAAATCTAATTATAAATTTTTATTACTGCTTTTGAAAGAAAACAATGCAGGTTTTTTTTTCCTCAAAGGAAGGCACGCAAATTTCAGAAAACCACCTGCATTTAGCAGGGGAGGATACAAGGAAGAGCAGGAGAGGAATAGCCAGCGACCTGTGTGGAGGCTGCAGCCCCCCGCTGTCACCCCAGGGAGACTGGCACTTTGACTTCTGTCCACCCGCTCTGGGCCCAGCCCTGAGCTCAGTGTTTCCAGGATGGATAAACCAGCTGCATGAGCTGCCTCCAAGCCCACACCTCAACACCTCATCCCCAGCGTGTGCCAGGAGGGGCCTCAGGGGGGCGGGGGCAGGGGCTGCCCAAGGTGCTGGGCTCAGGCAAGCTCAAGGGGCCTGCAGTGCTGCTACTCAGCACCTCCATCATCACCCCACCGATGCTGAATCCACGAAGGCCTCGCTGCGGGAGAGCAGAGCCACCTCCCCCAAGGCCACCTCCTCAGGCATTTTGTTTTGGGTTCACAGCACCCGGGCAGGAGACGGTGCAATGCCCACTGCTGCCAACCAGGCCATCGGATGCTCAGCATGGCAGGGGAGATGGGACTTCCTCTCTTCCCAACTGCAGAGGCCTTGAGGAGCCAGATGGAGAGGGCAGGACTCTTGTCCCACCTGCTGGAGGTGAGGCCCAGCGGCAAGTGGCCTGTGCCAGGGTCCACGTGAAGCAGAACCTACCTTTCAGGGCGTCTTCGTTACCACAGCTGGGACTGGCCAAGCCTGGCTAACACTCTCCCCCAGCCCTCTTCCTCCTCCTTCCACTACCCATCTTCTTCAAATTTCCCCTTGGACATGGCCTCCCAGGGGCTCTGGCTGGCACTGCTTCCCAACCCCAGGTGCGGTGGGGTCTCCCCTGCACACCCTAGGCCCTGTGCTCCCCTTTGGCACAGTCCTGTGAAATCATGCTGTGTTGGTACTACCTGTCTCCCCCTCAGACGTCAGTCGGGTGCTCTGTGCCGGCCACGGCTGCTTTCGCGGCCGCTTCCCCCAACCCTGGCTCCATGCTGCCCCAAGAGTCCGGAGGCCGGCGAGTGCGCACACCTGTCCACCCACTGGGCCCAACGAAAATGGTCCTGGAACCACGGGCCACAGAAGTGCCTTCCGGCCGGGGAGAACATGCAGAGGACAGTGTATGAGCTGGCCCGGCAGGACCAACAAGCCAGGGACAGGTGCACACATGTCTGACAGGCCGGGGGGCTAGAGCAGGGGCTCTTCATCTTCTCGGGGCCACTCCCCTCCTACTGCCAAGCTGGGGTGTCACGGGCTGCATTTATCCCTGCTGAATTCACGTGCTGAGTCCCAACCTCAGGACCTCAGCCTGCGACTGCGTTTGGAGATGGAAACTGTACAGAGGTAGTGAAGATCCAACAACGGGCAGGCCGCGTAAACCTTCATCCAACCTGACTGGCCCCCTTCTGAGACCAGGACGCCGACAAGCAGAGGGAGAAGACAGACATCTGCAAGCCCTGGGGACAGAAAGCAACCCTGCTGACACCGTGACCTTGGGCTTGGAGGGAACACAGCCTGCTGCTGCAGGCTACACAAGGGGAGGCCACCTGGGGGCCCCACCCTGGCCCAGGGACAGTCACCTCCCACACGCACACAGCAGCCTGACGTGATCCAGCCACCACGGCCCCAGCAGCTGTCTGCTGCCCATCCTGCGCACAGGAAAGCGAGCGGTGTTCTTAAGCCAGTTTGGACTTGGACCGAAACCTCCTAAAGCCCAAGCCCCAAGCCCGGCAGAATGGCCGGCTCCCGTGGGACGTCTTCTGGTTTCAAATGGGCACTCGGGACCTTGACTGGGGTCCTGGGGAATTAAGAAACCTCACAACAGGTACAGGGAGTCTGACATCTCGGCGCAGCCCCGAGGCACCTGCACTTTAGTCTGTTCAAAGCCAAATGACCGTGAGATTACTTAAGCACTTCGATAAATTCTGTTTTCACACCCTAGTGGTAACAGCTCCTCTGGGAGCAGGACTGAGGGAAGGAAACCATGCCTGGGGCTGTTAGAACATGCCAGGGTCAGCAGGGTTAGCAAGGGCCATCTGCTTACTGCTCTCAGGGCCGATTTCTGCAGTTTGTAAGTGAGGCAAACGGCACCCATAACCCAAGCTAAAGAATCTAGAGTTGCAGGAAAGGCTCACGCAGAATGAATTAGTGGTCAGCTTGCCACCAGGCAGCAGACCTTGACAATACAGAAAGCTCTGGAGCCACTCAGAAATCAAAAGAGCAGCGACTGAGGATGTCACTCCTCATCACATATCAGGCCTTGTATGGAAGGAATCTCAATGAGGAGCTCACGGAATTTGGCTACTGAGCCTTTTTTTTTGGGTACCAGAGATCGAACTCGGGACCTTGCACTTGCAAGGCAGGCACCGGAACCACTAAGCTAAATCCCTGGCCCTGACAAGCCCATTTTACAGGAGAGGAAACCAAGGCTCCCAGAGGTAACAGGAAGAACCATGGCTCTGCCTGCTCGTGCCTCCTCCAGGCCTCTACCCGGCGGAGCCAGTGCTGCGCAACGCCTTGCTTCTTCACAATGCACGGGCAGTGGGGCCACCAGGCAGGGAGGGGTACAGCAGCAGAGGGAGCCACAGCCAGGGAAAGGCCAGAGCAGTGTGGCTGCCTCGCCCTGCACCAGGGTGCAGGAAACTCACGGGGCACTGCCGGCATCACACCGGACACAGTCCCCACAGGCCTCACAACCCCGAGGCAGCAGGCACGAGAGGCGGGGACTCTGCATCCTTGCTCCCGGGAGAGCAAGTGCGCCCAGCTCCCACCGTCCAGGCCGCACTGTGGAGGAA